ACAGGTTGATTAGTGTTGCTGCACAGGTCGCTTAGGATAAGAGGGATACTAAAAAGGAAAGAAAGGGGTACATCATTCTAGCTCCTGGGTAAGGAACTGAAAAATAAGTCCTTGTCCTCCGCTTTGTGGCATATGCTTTGACATTAACAAAGCACCAACCTGGAGCCTGAAAGGCCATTAGCCGCCTAGCCTGAAGCCCACACCACCCACACACCCCTGTTTCAATTTTAAGTGTGTTGCCTGCATGTCTGTTTGTTGCACCACATACATGCAGTGCCCGTGAAGGCCAGAAGAGGGCGTTGGATCCACTGGAACTAGAATTACAGATGGCTGTGAGCCACTATGTGGGTGCTAGGAATCAAACCTGGAAAAACAGGCAGCGCTCTTAACCGCTGAGCCATCTCTCCAGCCCTTAAAGCCCTCAGTTTATAAATGAGGAAACTAAACTCACCCAGGCCACAAAGTGAGTCGGTGGGTGGGCTAGACCTGTGTGGGACCTCCGTTTGTTTGGTGCTGGCCCCCTTTGTGAAAGTGTGTGAATAGCCAGATCTGCATGAAGGGGTCTGAGAATCCCCGCAGACATGCCACTCACGAACTCATATGTATGCGCTACGTGTACACTGGGCCTCAGATCCTGCCAGCGGAGAACATCAGTTCCCTGCACTGGCAGCAGCCTGGTTTACTCCTCTGGACTGTTGGGGACTCCGGGGACAGGCAGAAAGCAGGACTCAGGCCTTCATGGGAGACAGGCCAGACACAAAGAGAGAACTCAGTCCCTAGACTCTGGCCTGTATTGGCCAGAGTGATTTCCGCAGAGCCCTCGCTGGCTGCCTCTGAGAAGGGGACACGGCAATGACTCAAGTGGTCCTGCTTAGAAGAACTCGACTGCCCCCTGGTGACCATGTCTTACATCTCCAGCTCCAACTCCACCCCCTCCACCCAGTGCCTTGGTTCAGCCATTCATCAAATATGTATTGAGGTTCCCTGCTGTGTACCGGGGAGGTGGGGAGTGGAGATTCCCTCTTGTTAAGTGGATGAACCACATACCCAAGAACAGGTCAGCAGGGGACTGTAGAATATTAATATGTAAAGCAACAATTACAAACAGGTTCATAAGTGCTGCAGCAGAGGTTAGCCCAGGATATAATAGAAACTAAAAGAAAAAAGGGGGTGAGGTTGCATTCCAGCTTCTAGGTATGGTATCCAAAAATAATTCCTTGAATTGGGCATGGTAGAGTATACCTTACAGTCCAGATGCCCAGGAGGCTGAGGCTGACAGGATCAACCAACCTGAGCACTGTCATAAAAAACAAAAAATCCCAACACTCAGGAGGCAGAGGCAGTGGATTTCTGTGAGTTTAAGGCCAGCCTGGTCTACTAATCAAGTTCTAGGACAGCCAGAGCTGTTATACAAAGAAACCCTGTCTCGAAAAACCAAAGGAAAAAAATCTTCTAAGAGGTATAGGATGCTGTGCTTCATGAATAGTCAACTAACACTTAACAATCCTTGTCTGAGATCTGTATTTACAAAACGTCTTAGTTACCCTTCCTAGCTTACCCCTTTTCAAGTCCCATGAGCTGTTCGTAATTGTCCCCATCTTAGAGATGAGCTGACAGAGGGTCTGAGAACCCAAATGACTTGCTTCAAGTTGCAATTTGGTAATAGGCGCCCATCTAGTGACTACAGATCCCAGCTGGGCCAGATGGTCTTCCGGGAGGCGGGCACACTAGGCTAGGGTCGCAGGTGGGAGTTGATCTCTTCTGCCACAAAATAGTTGAACTGGGGGGCTGGGCAATAATGTGACTCTCTCCCATCCTCCAGGGAGCAAGGCTCTCTTCTGAAGTTCTATGGTGATGCCTGCGGAGCCTGACAGAGGCACATACAAACACAGGGTCCTTGGCTTGGTGGCTATGACATTTCTCATCAAAGCCTGGAGTGACAGGGTGGAGTGCTGAGTGCCTTCCTGGTCACTATTGGGTACATGGGTAGGCGAGAGGTTGGGGCACAGGGCAATCCTGGGTAAAGGTGAAGAGCTTCGGGGTTTGGGAGACACTGACCTTATCTTCCATACCATCTCCACTGTCAAGTACAAGTTAGAAGTCCCCCTGTTAAAGAGGAATGAAGAATGTGGTGAAGCCGCGTGGTGATGGCACACGCCTTTAACTCCAGCTCTAAGGAGGCAGCAGCAGGTGGATCTCTGGGTTCAAGACCAGCCTGGTCTACAGAGCAAGTTCCATACAGCCAAGGCCATTACACAGAGGAGCCCTGTTTTTCATTTGGGGGGAGGGGTGGGTGGTTGGGATCTAGGGCAGTTATTTAGAAACAGGCAAATGTAAATGACTCACAGCAGAGTCCAAGTCTGGAACTCACCCACCACTGCCAGCCTCACAGATACAAAGGGGTCAAAGAGGGATGGGGCCATGTAGGCTTCTCCCTGCCCTTCTAGTCTAGAGCTGTTTCCAGTGAAGTGCAGATTCCTCCCAGGATTACCACAGGGATGGGGTTGCTCTGTGCTCAGGAACCCAGCTCCTTCTAGACCGTCCCTTCCCTCTCTTCTTCCCACCCTGCCGTGCCAGGGTCCTCAGCATGCCATTCACCCTACCAGTGCCTCATGTCTCTGGGGGTCTCTTGCGGAAGACATCTTTGTGGGTGGGGCTGGAGGGTTAATGGACAGCCGTGGAAGGCCGTTCAGGTGAGAGGGTGTGTGGATGTCTTGCTGGCTTTTACCGCTCATGGGGTGTTAGGACTAACAATTCTCTAGTCAGTTTTGCAATAGAAACCCCAGGCAGGTGTATGTCCAAGGACAGAACTTCATGCAGGAGGACCTTTAGACCAAAGACACGGGGCAGGTAGATCGGCTGAGCTTCCATTCACAGCCTGCACAGCCCAGTGCTGATAGCCACTTGTTCTGCTTAATCCTACTTCATCTTCACTGCAAATAACCCTCGGTGAGGTTCAGAAACAGCCCAAGGTCACAAAGCCAGGAAGCAATAGCACCCACAAAAGGGCCTCCTAATGCCAGCATGGCTTCTTACAAAGGCGTCTTTTGACTTTGCTGACTCTGGACACGATGTAGAGTCCTCTGTGAAAGAGTGAAGCATTCAGGAAGTCAAATTCCAAAGGAGAGAAAGCAGGCATTTTGACATAAGCAGGTTGTGGCCGGCCGTTATGGGGCCAGGTTTCTGCCTAGCTCTGCCCAGCCCAGGACACATTCCCTACCTCGCATTCAGCTCTGCCTGTCATCTCTGGAACTGTGTTTTCAAGGACCCCAGCGTGCTAGTGGCCTTCTGCATTTCTCCTGTTAAGCAGATTTCAGGAATGCATCAAGAATCTTGGCCGCCATTAATTTCACTGCTTACATTATTTGCTCCCCCCTTTTCTTCTTTGCTTGAGTCATTTAAAAAAAGTCCTTATGATTCCTTTAATCCCCGTTGGTAAAGCAATTTCATTCTCCTCTCTTTTAACCTCCTCTCTCCTGAATGCCCCCTCCCCCAGAAAGCTTTAAATAATGCAGCAAATTCTTGTTTCATTCCCTTTCTGTTTCCAGATGGATTTTTCTCCCCAGAACATCCCTGGGATCATTTCTCTCAGACGCTTCCCTGGGTGTCCCCCTGGTCTTCACACCGACCTACCCCCTTCCAGCCTTCCCTCCACCCTCCAGAATCGCAATCTGCCATTTTAATTACTGCTTCTCTTGTCACACTTGAGGGTTCCCCCTCTTGTCAGCCTTCTTCCTCCCTTAGATGCCAATCCTCTCTTCCAGTGCTGGGAATTCATTAAGACACCCAGATTCCTGCACATCTGTTCCCCACGCTGAATCATCTTAGTCTGTGTAGGACGGTCGTTCAGATGCAGACTGGAGCAGAGGACCAGGTCTGTCCACATGCACACCCATGCATTGCTGTAGAGATGAGAGTCCCTGGGTCCATCTGACACCTGCATCGCACGCACGCACGCACGCAATCCCCCCCCCCCCAACTGATGGTGTCCCTGGAGACTGTCTTCGATTTGATTTTATGCATTACCTTTTGCAGGCGGGGCCCGACCACAAACCATCTGGGTCACCTACAGTTGTTTCCCAGATGTCTGCTGGACCTGTGGGCCGAGTCAGCAGCTGGGAATGAGTCTGGGGGGGGGTGCTAAAGGGAAGTAACCCCATAACTGGGAAGTCAATGAGGAGGCAGCTCTCTGACACGGTCTTGGCAGAAGGCTGAGCTACTCAGCACACAGAGGAATGACTTGGAAGTTGTCACCCATCCTGTTTGGGCTAGCAAGCCTGTCCCCGCTTTGCCCTTCAGATAGGCATGTAGGACAATACCAGACAAGGTCATTTGCTGTGAGAAGCTTAATCAGAAACAGGGGATTCTTGAAAGTCTCTAGGAAAGAGTGACCCACTTACAGCTGGCTGCCTCCCCCAAGCAGGTCATATCATCCTCTGATAGGGGCTGTCAGGACAATGTGCATGGAGGCCTACGGGACAATTCCGTTATCATCATCAGATAAGGAGACACAGGTGGGGGGGGAGAGATCGTTTGGTTGCTCCTCCCTGTCCTGCCACATTCTGAAAGATTTTAAGGCAAGAGACACAGCTGGGAAATGGACAATGGGGAGTATTCTGAGATTATAAAGTAAAAGATAAGGTCCGGGTGGTCTCAAGTAGAGAAAGTCAGGAGGGCAGCTTGTAAAGCGAGGAGACTCATCCCCGAGGAGGGAGAGGCGGAAGGCACCTTCCGGGATTGGGGGGGGGGGCATCTGGAGAAGGGAGGGGCGGATAGGGCTGCACGTTTCTCACGGCCTTGCTGTCCAGCCTCAGTGGCTGCTGCGCCAGGCGCGATGGGATATTCTAAGAATCCTAGGAGACCAACTAGACCGGCAGGGGCCGAAGCCCAGAGATGGTCCAAAAACATGGACTCATTGAGCTCTGCAAACAACTCTGCCCCTCGTAGCCGTCCGTCACCTTCACAGACAAAGGACTGTCTCGGCGTCTTTTACTCCTCCTTTAGTGGGATGAGGGCAACAGAAATGTGAAGGAGTGGCTTGGAAAAGTCCGCCCACCCCTCATAAACCTCCTCCCGAGAGCCCAGGTTAAAAGCACGCTTCTGCCCCAGGCGATCAGGGCCTCCTTAATCGTGTGGAAAATGTGAGCCAGGCCGTTAGAGAAGCTTGCTCTTTTCATTGCTCTGCGCCGAACCAGCTGGGTTCCCATCACAGTTTGGGGGTGTCTCCGAGGCTCCGCTTCCAACCAGTTTACCCTGCCCACATCTCTGTGGGACAGACGTCCTAGTGTCCCCACTCCAGAACTCCGGCTCCAGCTCAGTGTGGTCACAAGCTCACCCAGTGACAGGCCTCTTGGCTGCAGTGGGTACCAGGAAGGCAGGGAGAAGTCCCTTTGGAGGGGAGGGCAAAGGTAAAAGGGGAAGTGGAGGCGGGGAGCTGACTGTGGGCCATCTGGACTGTACCGGAGGAGATGAGTGGGATTAAGCAGGGAGGTGAGGCCGGGGTGGAGAGGTGGTGCTGGGCATCGGGAGGCCTGGTCGTCTAGATGAGGAAGGCTGTGTCCGTCCACACCCAGGAAGAATGGGGAAAGTCAGAGCTCAGGGCCCAGTATGAGAGCATGAGCTTGGACTGTGCATCTGGCCTAGAATTAAAGGGATGGATGAGAGAGATGGAAAGGACTCGGAGGAAGTCAGCCCAGGCCTGGGAAGGTTTGGAGGTTACAGGCGAGGGGGTGCCCCACACATAGGCAACACTGGCTGTCACTCTGTGTTCCTTGTGGATTCCTGGAAAGGGACTGGTGGGTTAGGCTAGTCACTACTGTCTAGCACAAGAACAGTAGAGAGGTTTTCCTGGATGCCCCCCCCAGGAAATGGTAGACTGAGGCAGGGAGGGGTTGACGTGTTCTGAAATGAACTGAAGATTAATCCTCCCGGTTCTTAATGCAGGGTGAAATGAGATAAATTATTCACATCACTCAGTGTGGTAAGCAGGTCACTGAGCAGGCACCAGGCCTCTCCAGCTGTGTTTTACACGTAGGTCCTCTTCTTATTCTACTTGTTTAAACGTTCCCAACATCTGACTTAATCCGTATTTCAGGGCTCGATTTTATCTTCTGCAAAAATAAATTAGACCATACATTCATTTCACGACATTCTGACGTTTCCCGTATTCTTGCCTTCACACAAACATGATTAGAAAGAAAGGGGCTGGGGAATTAGGTGCAGCAGGGAGGTGAGCCGTTCTCCCAAGCTCACCCCTTCCAGTCTTCAGGGAAGAAGGCTGGCTCTGCACAGGGGCTACAGGAAGTCTGTCTGTCTGTGAGACACTGGCGATTAGTGGTGACCCCAGGGAATGAGATCCACGATTTAGAACTGGCCGGGGCTTCTCTCTTCCGTGGACCAGGATGTCTGTGCAGAGATGCCCACAGCCCTCCGGGGTGTCTGCAAAATGGATTACAATGAATGAGGCTTTTGTAGCCAGGAGAGCCTCCCACTCTTGGGCAGCCTTTCAATGGCCCCAGTCCATGGCATTAGTTCCCCCAGAACAATAGCTGGATTTCCGCTCTTCTCTACCAGGCACTGACCCCCAGAAGGGTATGGAGTAGGTTCCCCAGGAAAGGAGCATCTACAGGCTCTGACTCACCAGTGGCAGAGACACTCAGAAACTCAGAGGAAGAGTAAACTAAGTCAGGACTGAGGATGAGCACAGAAGGAAGGGATGGAGAGCCAGTCAGGAGATGGAGCATAAAGGAATTGAGCCAGAGGGAAGCAGAGTCTCTGGAGAAAGGCACTGAGGAGGAAGATAAGCGGGACGGGACAGCTGGCAGGGAAGAGGTTGGGCCTTTCAGAGAGCAGAGGACCCAGAAACACGGCACCAGGTAAAAAAGGAGTGTCGGGAAGAGTGTGGGAGGCAGAGCCCTGTGCCCAGAATGAGCTAAGCCAAGTGGAGGCTGAGTGTTTTACACACACACACACCACACACATACACCACACCACACATATACAACACACACAACACACACACACCACACACACACCACACACCACACACACCACACACACCACACTACACACCACACACACACACCAAACACACACACCACACACACCACACACACACACCACACACACCACACACACATACCACACTACACACCACACACACCACACACACCACACTACACACCACACACACACACCACACACACCACACACACCACACACACCACACACACCACACACACACACCACACACACACCACACACACACCATACCACACACACACCACACACACCACACTACACACCACACACACACACCACACACACCACACACACCACACACACACACCACACACACACCACACACACACACACCACACACACACCACACACACACCACACACACACACACCACACACACACCACACACACACCACACACACCACACTACACACCACACACACACACCAAACACACACACCACACACACCACACACACACACCACACACACCACACACACATACCACACTACACACCACACACACCACACACACCACACTACACACCACACACACACACCACACACACCACACACACCACACACACACACCACACACACACACCACACACACACCACACACACACACCACACACACACACCATACCACACACACACCACACACACCACACTACACACCACACACACACACCACACACACCACACACACCACACACACACACCACACACACACCACACACACACCACACACACAACACACACACACACACCACACACACCACACACACACCACACACACCACACACACCACACACACCACACACACACACCACACACACACACACACACACCACACACACACACCATACCACACACACACCATACCACACACACACCATACCACACACACACCACACTACACACCACACACACCACACTACACACCACACACACACACCACACACACACACATCATACCACACTACACACCACACTACACACCACACACACCACACACACCACACACACACACACACACACACACACACAGAGAGACAGAGAGACAGAGAGACAGAGAGACAGAGAGACAGAGAGAGAGCCTCTTACTACATTACTGTTTGCAGGACTTGGTGAACCTAAGCCGTTTCCTTCTCTCCCCACTGAGGTTATTATTCTAGGTGCACCCTGCCCTCCACTTCAGCTCTTAGGGCTAATTAAAACTATGAGTCAGATGGGGACTATCAGGTCTGCAAACTGCTAACCAAGTGGAGGGCTCTTTGTGCCTCACAATGGGGTTTCAGTGCTTGGGTAGCACATTCAGCATGCCCACTGAGGTCTGACGGTGGCTCTGGCCAGACATCATTTCTGTGGTTTGAGGCTGGCACAGAGGCTCAGCTAGACACAACAGGGACTCATTTTTTAAAAACAGACTGGCAGGAAATTTACACTGCAAAAACTTGTTCAGAAGCAAGTTTCTTATGGATATTCAGCAATGACCTTGGGGAGTCCAGATTTTTAAAAGAGGAGGCGATGGTTCATCTACACTATGTCACATACAGAAGGAGGGGTTCCCTCACATTTCTCGGTGGCTGGGGAAAAAGGCATATGGATTTTGCCCATTGACACAACAAGTGTTGATGTGTAAGTGTCAACGTGTAATGATACCATGGACCAAATACACGTGACACAACACTGTGAATGACTGAGGAAGAAACTCGGTGTGTTTCCCGAGGCCAGCAGACAGACAGCGCTAAGGAGGCATCGAGCCCCGGCCACGCCGAAGTTGCTGAGAGCTCAAGAAGGCTTATCTGTCTGCCTTGCCACGCATGGACCCACCACAGTCCCTGGCCTCTTGAGTGATCTCATCAGCATTTTCTTCTCAGACCTACTCAGCAGTAGATGATGAGCCCGAATGTCAGTCAGCACAGGCTCCGGGATGTTCCACCAGTGTGGAAGGCAGCCCTCTGCCCCGACAATCCTTGGCAAAGCAGCCCTGCAGCCAGTAGTCTGGGGGTGTGGAAGTCTCGGCCTCAGAGGGGGAGCAGCTTCTAGGCCAGCTCGAACGATGGCGCAAGCAGAGCCGCTGCTGAAAGCTTAAAAGAATGTACACCTAATTGCTTCTTGTGTGGCTGCTGTTGCTCCACGGAGCATGGGTGAGGGTCGGAGGGCAAGGTGAGTCAGTGCTCCCCTCCATGTGGGTCCCGGTCGGCAGGGCAGCGGGTTGTTAGGTCGGCAGCCCTGTGCCTTCACCCACTTAGCCAGCTCATCGGTCTGAACGTCCTACCCAACTGCAGTGTTTACTTCAGTGGCATCAGCGGCCCTCAGGTCCAGTTATCCAGTGTGTGACGCTGACCAAGGGCGCCACCATCTTGTTTTAAGTGCAGCCACGGGTGTCAGAACAGCTACGGGAGTGGCTCGAAGAGGGACGAGACCCCGTGTGAGGGGACTTGGGTGATAATAGCGGGCAGCATGAGCACTGCTCAGTGTTCACTGGGCTTTAGGAACACCTTAGCAGGTAGGTTTGTCAGTGTTTGGGGTACAGTAAAGGAAGCACCCCTCCCCATTGCACCCCCAACAGCCTGAGACGCTCCCGGAGATTCAGACCAACCCAGGATGCATGGCTGAAAAGATGTTTGGGTGCAGCCAGTTTATGAGGAAGAACAGATTTCACTAAAGGGGCTTTATTACAGGCTTAAGCTCAATACTGGGAGGAAGGGAGGCTCAGAAATACCTCACACCTAGCGTGGTGAGGACACTATGTAGGCAGCCTTCACAGTGAACGTTGCCAACTGTGCAGGAGTTCTCGCTTCTCAGAGGGAGAGACACTGGGATGATGGACTCTTCTCCCTCCTCCATTCCTCTGTCTTTTTCTCTGGCCTCAGGTCCTGTTAGTCCCATTTTACAGAAGAGCAAATAGAGTCTCAGAGGCTTAGACATGCAACTCCAACCCACATAGCTAGGAAAGCTGGAGGCCACTGCATTCTGGTTGTCCTTGGAAAATGGCAAAGGTAAAGGAACGTGCCCTGGGAAGATGAGGCCAGAGGAAGGGCAGAGTGTGAGATCCCATCGCAGGCTTGGGAATGACAAGACCTCAATTTCACAGAAGTGGAATGACAGCCAGACAGTATGGAGGCTGAGCTCGGAGAAGCAGGCAGAGGTCCCCGTACACTCGGGTCTTAGAACTCCAAGCTCTTGATACGGACACCCCTCAAAGATTTTAACAGAGATGCTCAGATTCGTTTTCCACTCAGAGATTTTAATAGAGATGCTCAGATTCACTTTTTTGTTGGGTTTTTTTTTTTTTGAGACAGTATTTCTGTGTAGTCCTGGCTATCCTGGAACTCACTCTGTAGGCCAGGCTGGCCTTGAACTCGCAGAGATCCGTCTGCCTGGGCCTCCCGAGTGCTGGGATTAAAGGCATGCGCCACCGCCGCCCGGCTCAGACACACTTTGCTGTTTCTCTGGCAGAAGGAGTGATGGGGCGATAGGGCAACAGTGCACGGGAGGCATCGCGAGACCGAACCTAGGCGGCGCCGGGAAATGTGAAGAGTCGGGGAAAGGCTTTAGTGACTACAGTGTGGCGAGGGGGGGTGGGGGTGTCCAAGGCGGGTCCTCAGAGCCGGCTGGGAACTGCAATGGGGTAGAAGGGTGAAGTTTGTTCCGGGTTAAGGTAAAGAACCTAGAAGCATACTTTTGGGCACACTGCCTCAAGGACACCTGGGAGGCTCCAGGTCCCCAGAGAGCAGCCGGCCACTGGATGTGCAGATCCAGACAGGCTGTTGGCCACAGGTACATCTCCTCTAATCTGCAGACAGTCTATCACTGGGAGCACAATGGCAGGAAACATTAGGAACTGGGGTTGGCAGGGCGGAGTGTGAGTAATGCAGGAGACGTGAAGTTGGTATTGGATGGCAGTAACCCCAGACTGCTGGGCCAGCGGAAAGCCATCAAAGAGGATGGCACAAAGGTGGTAATGGAGGTTGAGAATCTCCACCCCACCAGGGGGTGGGGGTTTTAAGTGATCCGAGGAGAGGAAGAGTCAATACAGGCAGAGCTAGCTTGTATTTTTAGTGCCAACCTTCAACAAAAACTTTCAAGCAGTTATTTTTGTTTTCACTGATTTGTTGTTCGCACATACTGTGTGCTTAGAGCCTTTTATGGCCCGGGAATACAGCAGTGACTAAAAAGCTTCCCTGTCCCCAAGGCTCTTACTCCTGATGCTAGACTGAAAACGTGACAAGCAAACAAAAGAAAGAAATCACCTCCTATCCAGGTGTCTGTTAGCTTATTTAACAGCCCCATGTGCCTCGTAAAGAGGGAACCTCTGAGGGCCGAGGCACCCCTTGTCCAGTGTGTGGTTTTGCAAGTGGACTTGCGGCCTACTCTTGCCCAGTCAGCATTCCTCCTTCGAAGCTTCCATGGTGACCCTTTGTCCAATTGAGACAAGATAAGGGAGACAGGTGACATAGGGGAGGAGCAATGCAATTAGAGACAGGGTGTGTTGTGGGGGTTCTTATCCCACCGTGTCCCTTCTCTGTGTGTTCATTTGGAGCTGAAGTGGTAGACGGGTGTGTGTGTGTGTGTGTGTGTGTGTGTGTGCAAGAGACACTTTCATTAACAAGGGTGGCCAGAGACCTGGGGAAGAGAATGACATTGAACAAAGACTCAGCAGGGCTCAGTAAGCAAGCTGTATGGCAACCTGGGGACAGATTCCCAGGCAGGACACAGCTGGTTCCAAGGGTTGAGACACGACTGTGTCTGTTGCATCCGAGGGACAGCAACGAGGCCAGAGTGGCTGGCACAGGGACAGGCAGCTGGGCCCCAGACAGTGCCTCACGGACCATCACACAGACAGACTCACACTCCCAAGGGGACAAGAGGCTCTTGGAAGATTTTGATTGGAGAAGTGACATGGTTTCATTTTTAATGAGCTCCTACTGGATTGAAAATGCGGCATGGGAGGGAAAAGCAAAAGCAGAGGAAGAAATGACCACGAAAGCGCAGCAGCAGCTGACAAACATAGAAGAGCAGTGCTAGACCACTGAGTCACAAGCAGTTCCTCTAGTGGCAGACATAGGGGAGTCACTGAGGTGCCCACTGGGCTTGCACTTAATGGGCTTCAGTTAAAACAGAAGATTTACCTCTTCTAGTATGTTCTGCCTTGTCTGCTGTTAAAGAAGAAAACAAGCCCGGTTGTGGTGGCATACACCTTTAATCCCAGCACTCAGGAGGCAGAGGCAGGCGGATCTCTGTGTGTTTGAGGCCAGCCTGGTCTACAGAGTGAGTTCCAGGACAGCCTCCAAAGCCACAGAGAAACCCTGTCTACAAGGAGGAGGAGGAGGAGGAGGAGGAGGAGGAGAAAAAGAAGGAGGAGGAGGAAGAGGAAGAGGAAGAAGAAGAAAAAGAAAAAGAGGAAAAAGAAGAGGAGGAAGAAGACAAAGGAGGAGGAGGAGGAGGAGAAGAAGAAGAAGAAGAAGAAGAAGAAGAAGAAGAAGAAGAAGAAGAAGAAGAAGAAGAAGAAGAAGACGACACACTAACCTGTATCTGAGCCATAGCTTCACCTTTTATCCCCTGTGTATCTCTGGCAATTGACTTGGAGCCTTGTTTTTCCCAGCTGTAAAACAGGAAGGAAGAAAATGTTTCAGCATGTTTATCGGGGAGGGCCCTGGGAGAGAGGAGAATTATTGGAACTAATACTCTAGGAAAAACCCACGTGAGGAGCTTGGCTCTGAAGGCATCAGACAGTAGAGGCAGCACAAACTTCAAGGTGGCTATGGCATCTGCTATCCTGGGACTTTTTACCAGTGACACAAAACATGTCAAGCTGCACAAGGACTTAGATTGCCTGCTTTTCCAGGCCAACCTTCAAAGAGAGAAGGGAGGAGGGAGGGTGGAGGGAGGAGGCCAGAGGAAAGACAAAGAGGAGAAAGCGGATGGTGGTAGAGGTAATGGTGAGGCCCGTGAGCCCGTGTGCTTTGGGCAGTGGCCCAGCATGGGATCCGACTGATGGCTTCTGGGTTTAGTTTGGGACACAGAGAGTGAAATCCCTTCCTCCTGCACACCGCACCACAGTGACCTAGAATGGAGGCCTCATGGGCCTGGTTACAGCCTCTCCCCTCTCCACCCCTCTCCCCCTCCCTTCCCTGCCCCCCCACCTCCTGTCCCCTCCCCTCTCTGCTCCCAGTCTGCAATTCATCATGGCTCTGTGTTCATGC